GGCCTGCCTGCATGCTAGCATTAACAAGGACCTCCATGAACCTTCCTTTTAAACACAGAAAAGGGAATCATGTTCATTTCCCAAACTGGGTAACTTATTTCATTTTAGTTTTGTTTATAGGCCAAGCTTCCCTCTCACATGGGGAAAAAAAAGTGTCTTATGTGCACAAATTTTGTGGGGGAAAAAATCCCCTTTCAATCAAAGCAGGCTCTTATCTTGGTGAAAGCTCTTCCCCATGGACTCAAGGCTCCTCAGAGCAGTGGTTCTCAGCCCCAGGAGGGAGGTACCCCACCCCCCCACCCCCTGCTCATCTTTCAGCCAGTGCAAGCATCTTGGAGGTTTAGGGTCTGTCAAGCCTGGCATTCCTGCTCTCTTCTTATCGCTCTCTACCCCTTCAAATAGGCAATTGATTAGTTTCAGCTTTTCAAACCGAGACCTGATCCTTTCCTCAGGATCAAATGCAAAGGAGCAGGGAGAGAAACATGGGAGGCGGGATGTTAGGAAGGAAAACGGGACAGTTGAGGAGAGACAAAGGCCTTGCTGGGCAGGGATGAAACGGGGACTCAGAATGATGCAGTTAGGATGGGCCTTGGGTCTCTGTGAGTACTTAAGAGAGAAAAAGGAGGCTGTTGATTTATGCCTGGGTTTCTCTGCAAGTCTTCCTTGTGTTTAAGGGCGTGGCTCCTCTTGCAACTTGGACATCTGTTCCTTTCACGTGACATTTCATAAAAGCCTTAACATCTGGGCAAGATAAACTTCCTCAGGTACCTGCTCAACTTTTCACTTGTCACACTCACTTCCCCAGCAAGTCCCCTTGCCCTCTGCCTTAGAATAGCCACTTTCTAGCCACTCTTTGTTCTAGCCCCAGCCCCACCTCCTGCTCCAGCCCCAGTGAAAATCTCCCCCCAAGTGCACCCTCCTCCCAGTGCCAGCCTTTGCCAAAGCCCATTTCTTCAGCACATCCAGAAGTTTCTTGCCTGGGGCTCCACTCCGCAGGTAGATGAGGGCAACGCCTTGAACCCAGGGGAAAATGTCTTATTTCGATTCGGGATACAGACCAAAAACAAAACAACAAAACAAAACCTGCCTTGTAAGCACTATTCACACTCAGCTTCCTCAGCCCGATCCTAGTCCTCTTCACATTCCTCCGGACAACCAGAAAGAGGGTGGCTGATGGTAGTGTGCTTTCCTGGAGCGCTTCCCTCTATCTGGTAGACCTTTAGGCCGCATATTTTACAGAAATGTTATTTTTCTGGTTCCGCTCCCAATCTCCCCTCCCCCAGGAAGGCTGCCTTCTGGGAGGAATGCTTTAAGCACTGTTTTTGCCTTTTCTAATCTGAAGTTTTGTTCCTTGCCTTCAGTCTAAATCACATGTAGCAAAACGACGACATAGTCGCCAGTTTGGGTTTGAGGGAAAAGAAGGAACAGAAAATAGTCCACGTAAACAATAAAGAAGCCACTGAAGGCCCTCGATGCAGCAAACCCCAAATGATGTCTTTGCAGGGCGCCCCCAAAATCCCTACTATAATTGACTGGTTTGTTTGAGGTTTTGTGACCATGTGCTTTTTGCCATGTTGTATGGCTTTGACACAAGAAGATGCGGACATACGATGATCACATCCCGACCTTTCCCGATGCTTAGCTCACTGGACTTTTTCAAGGCAGAGAAAATAAAGCAACTACTCTCCTCTTGTCTCAGTGATTGTAATTCGCCCCACCTTCCAGCGACCTGCCACAGAGTCCTTCTTACGCTATAGACATCTGGGAATTCCAAACGTGCCTCAAACTCCAATTACACACCTTCTTCAAAGGATGCGTGCTTTGATTGCAAAGAACATTAAGTGGGCCTTGAAACAAAAGAGAATGTAGAAATGCATACGTTACCCGGTTTTTACAAGGTCTGTCTTGCTGCCCACTAAACACAGAAAATGAATCCTTCTGTTTGTATTTTCCATGTTCAGTTTCCAAAGATGAGTCGGAGAAATAGTGCAGTTGTCACTACTAAGAATAAGGAAGAAGTTCTTCCATTGTGCAGGAGCGCTTTCCTTCCACTTTCACTGGAGCTGGGGGTGGGGCACTCCTTATGACACATTAGCAGAGATTTCTGGAAAAGTGGCCCCTGGGGATTCCCTTCCCGACCCCCAGTTTGTCACTAATGCGGGCCTGTCTTTGGAAATTTGAGGTTGGGCCGTTGCCTGTGTCTGTAGCTGCTTCGCGGTGCTACCGCTGACACTTGGCTCAGCAGACCCCTAGCAGCGGCCAGAGGCCCAGATCAGTGGGTCTGTGCCATCCACAGAGAGCAGCGAGGTTGACACTCTCTCCACAGTACGGGTCCGGACTGCCACCCACGCAGGGAAACCTCGGTCGGTGCTCCTCTGGTGCACCCTACGAAGGTGAGACCCTGCTCCCTACGGAGTTCTGTTTGGGTTTCCGTGGCGTTTGTTCCCCCAGCAGGTTTGTTTGTTTTTCTTCAAATTACAGATGCAGGGAAAACCGCCTGACATCATGAGAGCGGGACAAACGCTCACTTTGAAGGATTCCTGGGCAGGACTTCAAGTGAAATCATATGCCTGAGAAGAACTTGATACTGGTCTAGAGAAAATAACTAGTTCTGACTTTGCCAAACCGTGGAATGTGCAAAATGCTCTACTTTTTTGTGAGAGGCCAAGTGTCCCTTAAAAAGCTCCCTTATGAATATAAGCTCAAAGACCCCAGGGGCAGGAAGTTTGCTCCAATCTTGACTGTGGGAAGAAAGGACACAGGTTGTGTGAGTTTCTATTTGAGGTTATTTTATTAATGTGTCGCACATTGGGTAAGGGCTCTGCAATGGTGCCTGGATTATCTGTGCGCTGCTGAAGGAGCACATAGATGCACGGAACCCAGAAATGTGTGCATGAGCACACTTACTGCTATTATCAAAGGCTTATCAATTAGAGGAAGTTAAAAACAAGACAAATCAACTATCTTCACAGTAAAAACAAATCCAATTCTTCAGATGGAAGACCATTTAACACAATTCTTCCTAGCCAAAGCATTGTGGTTGGGGGACAAAGACAGGAGTCCAGAGACATTGCATGATAAGATTTAGCGCCTCCTCAATAAAGGGTAATCTATTCAAATTGTACTTTCAACAAAGGTAACTAAAATAAAATGCTAGAATAAGATGAGAATAGTGAACAAACAGGTCCTTTCTACCATGAAGAGTGGAGCATTTTATATTGCATTGGTGGACGTGTGATTGTAGACATAACCTGCAAGCTGGACATTACATTCTAGGTAACAATTCCCAGCACAAAGTCGCCTCACTTAAATAAAACTATGAGCTCTTTAAAAAGTTTTTCTATGAAAATCTAGGGGAAAATATTATTTCATTTTCCTATTACTGGGTGTCAATATGGTGACTGCCTTCCCCCAGTTTCCTTTCATAAAAAAACAAAACAAAACAAAAAACAAAAACAAAACAAAAGTGGAGAGAAAGAAGCAAATGCAAAGCCACTCTTTTCGGAAGCGTCTCCCCTATATACCCAGAGTTAGGATAGCATTTACCTTCTCTGCCATGATGTGACTTCCATCCTGGTGTACTTCAAACATCTGAAACATCAACCGTCAGACCAGGCTAGTGAACATGGAAGTTCCCCCCAAAACATCTGGAAAATGGACATGATGGGATGACCTATGCAAGAGAGTCGCCATCTTGGTCTTCTCCCTCCTGCTTTTGGGGCACTGTCTTTACATTCTATCTTATACACTTGCAGTCCATAATCACCACATAGATACACCACACAGAATCACCTTTTCTTTTCACTATAAGGTAAATGATAACCAAAATTTAAAAAACAGAAGAGAAAAAAATAAAAACCAGTTACTCCCCATGCTTTCACTAATATTTTAATCTAAATCAACACTACAGGCTCCTTATTATAAAATGTGTCTAAAATATTCACAATACTTAATTCATAATGTTGTCATGTCCGCTTTTGGTACTGTTTTGTGAAGAGGGAAGTAAATGCAATTTATTTGGAGATATTAGCTTATTTGAATTATTGTGTGAATGAGGAACCACAATAATTTCCAGCTTGAAAACACCATTATTTAAATATGACTATTAAACTGATGAAAATTTAAAGACTAAACTTTGAAAATCACTATTTTAGTCATAAAAAATGCTTTTGTCCCAGAAATATCCCGAATGAAATAAAAATCAAGTGCCATCTGCCCAGGTTTTACAGAGCTTCAGGAGTGTGTGTGTGTGTGTGTGTGTGTGTGTGTGTGTGTGTGTGTGTGTGCGTGCGCACATAGTACTGACTGAAGACTGAAACTCTGTGGCATTTAACAATTGTAATTGTTCCAGCACTTACCAAGGGCACCTACAATTTAGGTATTTATTTTTATTGCACAGCTGTGTATTAGGTGTGTATCAAGAGCATGTTTCCCTTTCCCTTGGGGATAACATTAATATAGCAAACCCTTTTCCTTTTTAATCAGCAAAGCACTGGGCATCATTCATTCACTAAAGAGGTAAACAAATCACACAGCAATCTTCCTCTCAATTAGGTTTTTTCTACACATTTCAAGTACAATGCATATAATGTATGTATTGTTTGCATTAACACACTAGCCTTTCAGTGAAATACAACTTTTTAGGAATCTTCATGGAAATAAAGGGAAGGGCAAAAATGCATAGTAACTGTTTCATATTGCTCATTTGAATAATTTAGTTCCCACTCTAAGTAAGAGGTAAGCAACAGTAAATCTGCTCAATCCAGCCTAAGAGGTGGAGAGGCAGCAAGCCCCGCTGAACACCAAGCTGTAATAATAATAGAGCTGTCCTTTAAATAGCATGGCTGTCTCTGTCAGTAGCTGGTTTATTTGAGGTTTCCCTTCTTTGTTTATATTAGTGCCCCCACTCCCTCCCTGATATCCCTAGAGTTAAACAAACAAGTATTTACCACCAGAAACCTAATTCTGAGTTTTAAAGTATAGACCAAACTTTAAAGTTCTTAAAATTTTTCAATCATATTTATTTATTGCAGAAAAATAATATACAAAAGATATTTACAAAACAGTCATAAAAATATGAATGCATTTAGACACCGGATCTATTTGCATTTTACCATGGGTCATCAATAAATAAATAGAATGTTGTCTTTTGTATTTTATGTTTTCTTTTCCTTCAGAGGAAGTTCTGTGTGTTTTTTTTTTTTTAAAGGAATTCACTGACTATGGTTTTGTAGGCCAGTTTGATCCCACTGTTTTTATTTCTACAGGTGTTGTTAAAATTCCTCTGATTGTTACCATTTTAAAATGGAGAAAGTCCACAATGATGCCTTTCCCCTCAGTGGCTGATTGGCACGACCTCTTGAGAATGCATACATGTATGAAAAAAAATAAAACATTCTTCGTCGGGGGGGGGGCACAAACAATGGTTCGGACTTCTATCAGAATGCAGAGGTATGAGGGTAGTGCCGCTGCCTCTCTGGGAATCTCGGTCCACCGGCCTGTCTGGCTTTCTCTTTTAAAAGTGTGCCCCACGCCCCGATTCTTTTGAATTTGGGCTCTGCTCTTCTAATTTCCAAGAAAATCTTTGTCATATAGATTTATTTTTAGTTATCCAGCTCCAGAGTTCTCTAGACTGTCCATTTTCTCCTTCTCTGGAAACAATGACATCTGCAAAAACCCAGAAGGGGAAAGTTGGTTATTGTGTACGTCTGTGGCTGTTTCCTCAGACCACTAAGCCCTGTTATCACTACCAGCGAGAATTTTCGCTGAACAACCTGGAAGGATTTCAGCCCAAGGGCAAGAGGAAGTGGGTGGGCGGAAAGGAGGGGGTGGAATTTGGAAACATTTGTTTTAAGAAGAAGGGAATTTTAAAGACGAAAGAAAGGGGGAGGGCTAGCTCTGGGCACAAGGCCCTTACTCTTGACTTTCTCGGTCTTGTGTCACGCACACTCCCGCACACGCTCACCCCTCTCAAGGGCACGCTCGGTCTCCCGACGCGGACCTGTTCCCGGGGTGGGGACCGAACCCTGCCAGAGACACGCGCGGGACCAGGTGGCGATCGATGCCTGGCTAGGTGGAGGGCAGCGAGGAGAGTGGGGACAACCCAGCGCGGCGGCGGGCGAGGTGGCCAGGGAGCTCAGGCCTGGCCCGAGCGACCCTGGAGTCGGTCCTTACCTAGGTCTCCGGCCTGCCGAGGGGGTGGGGAGCTCCGCCTGCTAGTGGGACGCAGACATGGACCAGGCCCCCTCCATCCTCCAGACCGAGAAGGCATAGCTGAGTCGCTCGTGGGCTACATAGCTGCAGCTTGCCATCTTGGAGTCCAGCTCGTCGCTCTGCAGGACCTGGTACAGGAAG